CACACTACGACACACACACACTGTTAGTATATTATATATATATATATATATATATATATATAATATATATATAATTAACACTTCTTCACGACCATCGTCGCCATGACTGGAGTTAGAGATTAGGCTGCTGCCTAGTTATATAATCGTGCGTTCTGATAAGACGGCTTAACTATCGTGAGATTAGGCAATCTCTCTACGACTTCATTTTCTAGGTCGTTGCAACTCGGATGCCGTCTCTCTCGAACTAACCGGATATCGTACATGCAATGATAAATCAGAACTGATGTAAGAAACCAATCTTGCAGAGTCGCGAATGCGGAGACAAGAGTGAATTACGTTTGTCAGCGTAATGGCGTTGATAACAACCAGACGAATACTCGATATAGGCAACTGTCCATAACGCCAGCTCATCACATAAATGTCATCATTAATCATTAATGCAGGCAGGAATATGACTTGTCCACTTATAGATGCTTCACTTCGTTTCTATAACACATAACCACGGGCGGTAATGTCTCGTGGACATTTGCAGTGATGTAGCATTTCCATGTTCATAGGAAGCAGATCAGAGAATTGTAAGCAACAGGTTAAAACAGGTAACCCATTACGACTTCCTAACGATAATGGAAAATACCCTATCCACTGTCGCCGCCATTCCGTAGAAATAGTTAGAGTACAACGAACGAGGAAGTAACCGAATTCGTGAAACCTTAATAAATAGTAATGCACCACCCATAACACACATTTTATGAAGGCATCGGCGCCATTTTCAGCTGTAATTGCGTTCGGCGGCACTATAGGATTTGCACTGCTATGGGCTATACATCTAACAGCTCTCAGCCAAGTCTGATCACACCTACTGGATTGTAAAATATGGCGACGCTATCAATACCCACTGCGAAGCCAATACAGTTGTTTCATCAAAACTAAAAGGTTTACCGCAAACCATTACGATAGACAAAAATCGTCCGCGAAATGTTCTTAAAAATTGATCGCTTGGCGCTGCTCGGCAACCACGTGACATCATATCAAACAAACGTCAATAGACGGTAGCCTTTCATGTCGGCGTGAAATATCATCGCCATTGGCGAAATTTCTATGATGTTTCGTCACGTACAGTTTACGTCAGAGCTACACGACAGACGCGTAATGACCTAACAACAGACGGTTGATGGCCACCGCCCACAGTCTCTGTACTTCCACAGTCTACAGTTCAACAAGCCCGTCGTTGCAAAAAATAGTATAGTAATTAGCCGTGAGCACCCAAAAGCACTCATCGTAAATGACTTCCAGACATGTGTTGGGATGCAATTTCCGTCCAAGACTAACGGGGATCTCGTTGAGAGAGTGAGTCGAGTTGCAGAAAAGCTTTCACCATTATTAGAATCGAACTACGCGAGATCGCAACCATGAGAACAAAACGAACGAAGCGGCTCCGATTCTAATTACACCGAACAGCCATCTGCGGGTTCCTGCTACTCGAAGAGAGCTCACAGTAGTGGTCACGCCAGGGATGTCGCCAGAGGTCGCGCTACTCGATTAGTGCGATTTCGACTCTTATGTCTACGCAAGTGTACTGATTCAATTGAGTGCACTTCGAACAGAAATCAGGGGAACGTTTTGCGATAAAAGCGTGGCTCTTCTGTCGTTCGAGTTGCTAACTAAAAATATTTTTTCGTGCATCGATGAAATCAAGAGAATATTCCGCAATATATACACACAAGCATTATGTGTGCGTGCACACGCACTTATACACACAGACACACGCACGCACAAATGTCTGCACACGCACACACTCACACACACACACATACACACACACACACACACACACACACACACACACACACACACACACACACACACACACCACACACACACACACACACACACACACGCACACACGCACACACACACACACGCACGCACGCACGCACGCACGCACGCACACACACCACACACACATATTGAATATATCCTGCTATATTACCGAAGTTAGCACGTTGCATGTAAATTCATTAAAATGCTGTATCACGTCTGTGTATATACCAGCGAATGTTATACACCTAAATTTAATAACAGAGACTTCATCTCGATGTGAAAGCCGGCATATATTCACGTTTCGTATATCGTTGATCGTATTTGAATTCGCGCTCACATGAATCCGCCGTGGTGGCGTTATATTAAAAAATAAATTGATTTCAGTAGAGCAGAGTGAGAAGAGAGGCATCCCTAACAAACAGTATATTGCAGAGCGCATTAGGCATTCCATATCCCTGCTCTCCAGGTCTCAAATCGAATCACGTACTCGCACATCACAAAATCTCACGGACAATGAATTCACACTCGTTTTATGCGCTGCTGGCATTTTACGCTCTCGACGCGTCGTTTCTCAACGAGAGATGTAAAACTAATCAAAATCCGCATTAGGTAACAGATGCGAGAGAGAGAGAGAGAGAGTGAGAGAGAAGGCGAGCCTGCATTTCCCATCTAACACAACTCGACGCGTTGTCACGCTTGTCATCTAATGCAATCAGGCTGCAGCTGCAGCTGTCTACTATTGCGCTCAGAAAATTATAATCAAGCATTTTTAATGGGCGAAATATGGTTGCCTCGAATACCTATCAACCACGCGTATGCTCTTCAGAATTACAATTAAGCATTACACGCAGCACTGATTTGATCCGAGCCCCGAGATAGTTACAAGATAGCTACTCGCATGAAGTTATTACCCGCGACGTGAACGAAGCACAGGTTCTAACGACACAACAGAACCACGTTTACCAGCTCAGCTGCAAATCATGGAGTAAACGTGTGGTGACATCTAGTGGTGGAAAATATTCCAAATGTTGGTTTTACACACAGAAGGGCGGTAGGATGATTTCCAATTAGGCATTGCTGAATAAAGAATAGGTGATTTATTACAGAATTGTAGATTCACTTTGAAGGAAACTAAAGGATGACTAAAACTTAAAACGAAAAAATGAAATGCTGAATACTTCACTACTTTATTTGTAACAAGTTCACCATTAATAAGTATATACCTGTTTTTATAACAAATTGCTTTTTATATACACTAAACAATAGAGTGCATCACATATACCACCGGGTTCTACCATGCAAGTAAATTCATAGGAGTGACAAAGGATATATTGAATCCACAAGATATGACTGACATAGTAAGTTGACAGTCCATACCACAGTCACACTGAGCCAACTAGGCAATTAATTATTCCTGACAAATCAAGGTCTAGTTTCCTCTATCCGTAAATGGAGGGAGCTATACTAGGCCGACTTCATGCTCCCACACGCTAAGTGTACTGCGTATATCATGTGCTACAAATACTGCTTACGCATCACGTCTGCACACTTTGATCCGCGTTCACGTATCACAGCAGGAGTGAATAAAAACGAAAAACAAAAATGTTTGTTTTTAACTTTGATTTGTTTTCATTTACTCCTGAATACAAAGATAGAAAATTTGGCCCTCGTGATATCAAATTGAACCCAGTACAACCCCTGTGCTCTGTTGACAGGCATGACTTGGATTATGATAAGAAAGGCCCATGGCACTGCATCCATACTTTTTATCAGGACTACACTGTTTGCAACGAATTGAAGCCATCATCAATAAACTGTACTTAACTTGCTCTGTCCGTCTCCAAAAATCGATTCACATCATGGTTTCCTTTTCAATTTCGCACGATTTGCTCGAGTAGGTAGGTCTGGCACTTGAGAATTATCCAAAATGACAAGGTAATAAGTAAGGGAAAGATCTGGCAACCTTTGTTAACAACCCATAAAGGTGTCACACTACAACAGATCTATCAATCTATCCATCCATCTATCCATATAATCTATTACCTGGTGCTACTCAGGCATTCCTCTTGTAGGAGATTTGATTGCAGTGCTGACCTGTGTAAAGAGGGTAGCCAGATTATGAGCACACACCTAGAGTCCCTCCAACAGGATAGCACTGGCTCCACCACCTCCATTGCAGATCCCTGCCATTCCTTTCTGACCCGCTTTGAGCTGATGCGCCATGTGCGCCACCAGGCGTGCTCCTGACATCCTATCAACAGCAGCAGAAAGACAAATAGTTACTAACAACAATGATAACAACAACAACAACAACAACAACAACAACAACTACTACTACTACAACAATGATGCCGACAGCAACAGAGATACAACATATATCACAATATCATTTCTCCCTCTCTCCCTCTCCCTCTCTCTCTCTCTCTCTCTCTCTCTCACTCCCTCCCTTCCCCCCTTCTCTCTCTCTCTCACTCCCTCCCTTCCC